GAATTCAATTTCGACAATGTAGAAATCTTGGATAGTGAGGGGGAACATAAAGAATATCAGAGAATTCCTAGAAGCTTGGCATTCAGATCAGTCAGTGAGCAGTCAACAGATGTATAGACATAGACCGAATCTATCAACCAATGCAGAAAATGATAAACGACAGGAAGGTGATAGGTGGAGCAGAGGAACAGCCAACAGGAATGTCTATGCAGTCAATGGCACAACAATCGAAGGGAACAACGAATCACAGACCACATTGTCAGAGCAAGCCAGTAAATCACTCACGGAGAGATATTGACAGCTGACTTCATATTGAAGTTATTGCTGATGATGTCATCTAGAAAGACGATGAAAGCTTCCCGATTAAACAACCCAGCTGAAAGAACACGATAAAACCAAGACGAGGCCAGGTAAGGCTTTTTTCTTGGGCGTCCGAGGAGAGGGTGACATGGAGGAGATGGTGTGAGGGAGAAATGAAAGCTTGTGGGCAGTGGTGGAGCCAGGTTGAAAAGGCTGCAGAGAAGTGAAATAGTGGCGTGCTGCTGAAGCCCTACCTTCCACAACGAACACAAGTGATAAATAATGATAAGACAACTGGCATATGCTGTTTGACTTTATTTTTAAAATCTCTTACAGGCAGTCCTCTGAAGTTGCAAGGCTTTGTGAACTTTTGGTTAACGCTGTATTAGAATCTAGTGATCAGTAGTTTTTTTAGTTTATTCAAAGCATGCGTAATAACGCACAGTTGTTTTTTTACTAATACATCAGCAGTGACTATCCTCTTTCACTCTTGAGTTAATGAACCTTGCAGTCATGTAGTTTATAGCTAAGACTATTTCTGTTTGTCTACATCCTCGTCCTCTGTCGAGCTTTTCCTATTCCCGAAAGAAGGTCTACTTCACAGTTTTGGTAGCAGTCGTAGTATTCTGAAGTGATGTCATACTCTGCCTGTTTTTGATGCTACTTAATTCACCATCTCTAATTTTGAAGGTATAATGAAAATTTGGACCACGGTAGCATAAGAACCAGCGACCACCCGGTTTCCTGTCCGATGCTCTACCAACTGATCTACGAGGTCCAATTCTTCAGCAGCTTTTTATTTCACTTCAATTACCGAGTGTTCCTCCCGACTACCACGTGAATTCATGACACGTTACTACCACTTAATCGTTCTCACATTGGCTGCCAAGTCAAGACATTTCACCCTAATCCACATGCAACTGAATCGAAGAGGGTGAGCTTCATACCGATTGTTATTTTGTTTATCTGAGATAGCCGTGGTTCGGTAGACTAGTATTGATACTGGTTGATGATTGAAGATGAAACGAAAATTTTGGCCGTGGCCGGATTCAAACCAGCGACAACCGGGTTACCGGCCCGGTGCTCTGGTCAGCAGTCGGGTCTTGTAGCTCAGTTGGTAGATCACCTGTCCGGTAATCCAGTGGTGGCTGGTTTGAATCCGGCCACTGTCAAAATTTTCGTTTCACCTTCAATCATCACCCAGTATCAATACTATTCTGCTAAACCTCGCCTGGTTAACTAGTTCACTAGTTACTAGCCAGTCCTAAGCCCGGGTAAAGAGGGAAGGTTGGGCATAGGGCTAGCAACCCTACCCCCTAAAACAAATCTAACCACTAAAGAAACTTCAAAGCACAAACAAAATATAAAAATAATAACAAAATTATTCCTCGCTGGAATCGGAGGGGCGAAATGACACCAGTTGGTGAAAGCCTTCGGCAAGCCAATTGGCCGATGTGTCTTCTCTCCCTCGATGAAAGCGAAAGTAAACGTGGGTACATGGAATGTCCGCACCACGTTTGAACCCAACAAGGCAGCCCAGATTGTAAAAGAGATGAGAAGGTATCACACTGAAGTGCTTGGAATTTGCGAAAGCAGATGGAATGGGAGTGGAACCTCCAAACTGTCAACTGGAGAATCAATAATCTACTCCGATATTGTCACCCAGATGACAACCACCAGCACACTGAGTTTTGGAGTAGCTATCATGATGTCCCCAACAGCACCGAAGGCTCTCATGCAGTGGGAACCAATTTCCTCCAGGATCATAACAGCAAGGTTCAACTCAAAAGGAAGGAAGGTCACAATCATTCAATGATACGCTACGCTACACACCTACAAATAATGCAGATTAGGAGGAGAAGGAGGAATTCTACAGACAACTTCAATCAACACTGGACAAGACACCAGTCAAGTTGGCGTTATCAAAATTCATTCTAATGGGCGACATGAATGCCAAACTGGGAGCAGACAACACAGGAAGAGAACTAACCATGGGTCGATAAGCACTCAGTGAAATGAATGAGAATGGAGAATTGTTTGCAGAATTCTGCTCATTTAACGATTTGGTGATTGCAGTGAGGCAGTGTTTTCAAGCTCACGGATATCCACAGGGCTACATGGATTTCACCAGATGGACACACTAAAAATCAAATCGACTTTATCTCAATCTCAAGAAAGTGGAGACGCAGTCAGCCTACTTGACACAAGGTCAAGAAGTGGGTCAGATGTAGGTTCAGACCACTATCTAGTGCAAGGAACCTTCCAAATCAAGTTAAAAGCCTTCAAGGAAGCTGGTCATAGACGACCACAGTTCAAGTACAACACTCGGAAACTGAAGGATGAAACTACAAAGGAAATCTTCACTTCAGTCAGCCATCAAGACAAAATGGGAGATATCGAGGAACATCCGTGAAGAAACCTGTGTGGAAGAACACTGGAAGTCTTTGAAAGCTATGTGTAAAGAAACCTGCACAGCCGTATTAGGAAGGGAGAAGAAAGAAGACAAGGAATGGATCTCAATGGACACATGGAAGCTGATACAGCAGGGACAGAAGGATGGTGAAGCAGAAGATAAACCAGTGCAAGGATGCTCAACGACAAGAGGAACTCAGCACAGTGTATAAAACACTGGACAAAGAAGTGAACAAGAGTGCACGCAAAGACAAAAGACACTTCTACGACACACTGGCAAGTGAAGCAGAACAGGCTGCAGTTAGGAGAGACCTGACAACATTGTATCAAATAACCAGGTTGCTATCTGGGAGCAGATCAACTCAGACGAAACCAATAAAAGGTTATGATGGAAATTTAATTACGAAAGAAGAGAAACAGAGGAAACAATGGGCCGACCACTTCAAGAAGCTCTTGAATCGACCACCACCAACACCTGCACTTCGTCCAGAAATAACACCTGCAGCCGCTGAACGACAAGTGAACATAAATCCTCCAACAAAAATGGAAGACCTGAACGCCATAAAGCTACTGAAATGCAGGAAAGTAGCAGGACCAGATGGGATCCCGCCAGAAGCACTGAAAACAGACACAAAGACAACAGCGGACATGCTCACACCACTATTGCAGAAGGTGTGGAAGGAAGAGAAGGTATCTGGCTAGTGATTGGAAGAAGGGTTATCTTGTCAAACTGCCGAAGAAGGGAGACCTCAGTGTTTGCAAGAACTGGCGCGGAATCACTCTCCTGTCCACCCAGAGCAAGCAAAATATTTAGCCGCGTCATCCTGGAGAGGCTAAAGGATGCACTGGATTCAAAACTACCGGAACAGGCTGGCTGGATTCAGGAAGTACAAATCATGTGCAGACCAAATTGCAACGCTTCGCATCATCATAGAACAGAGCGTAGAATGGCAATCAGCTCTCTACCTCAACTTCATCGACTTTGAGAGGGCCTTTGACAGCGTCGACCGAGAAGTAATTTGGAAACTGCTTCAATACTACGGAATACAACAAACCTTAATCAGCCTCATTCAAGAACTATATGAAGATGCCACATGCCAAGTAATTCACAATAGGAAGCTCAGTGATGCTTTTGAAGTGAAGACAAGAGTGAAACAAGGTTGCCTACTATCCCCCATGATATTCCTGATAGTGGTCGACTGAATCATGCAGCAAACAGTGGGGGGCGAGAAGAGGGGGATACTCTGGATTGCGGAAAATAACCTAGAAGATTTGGATTTCGCCGATGACTTATGCCTGATGTCACACAAACTGGAAGATCTACAGGTGAAAACTAACAAGTTGGCAGGACAGGCAGCGAAGACATGACTACCTTCAAGTGAATATAGAGAAGACAGAGGTGATGAAGATACCCAACCAACAACACCACCACCAACAAAAAACTCCAATCACCATCAACGGGAGAAACTTAAAGGAAGTAACCTCCTTCACCTATCTCGGCAGCACTGTTTCAACTACAGGTGACGGCACAGACGAGGATATCAAAATCAGAATCGGAAAAGCAAGACAGGCCTTCATTAGCCTGAAACCAGTGTGGAGATCTTCTGCACTCAGCATATGGAACAACATCCGGATTTTCAACACCAATCCAGTCAAGTCAGTGCTTCTGTGTGATGGTTGAGAGACTTGGCGCGTTACGAAAGGGATTTCCAATAAACTACAGACATTCATCAATAACTGCTTACGCTGGCTCGCTACTGAAGATCAGATGGCCAGAATAGTTAGAATAAGCAACAAGGAGCTCTGGGAACAAACCAACCAACAACCTATCACCCAACAAATATGCAGAAGGAAGTGGAGATGGATTGGGCATACACTGAGAAGACCGACTGGGGACATCACGCGTCAGGCCAGTCGCTCGAGTGGAATCCCCATGGGAAGCGACGAGTTGGGTGTCCGAGGTGAGGGTGACATGGAGGAGATCGTGCGAGGAGGAAATGAGAGCTTGTGGGCTGTCGTGGAGCCAGGTTTAAAAGATTTCGGAGAACAGAGGTCACTGGATAGGTGCTACTGAAGCCCTACGTTCCATTAGGAACCCAAGGGACTAATAATAATAATAATAAACCACAGCTATCTCAGGTAGTAAAAATGACACTATTTAAGTTTTGAAAAAATTAGTGACCGAATAGCCGGAAGATAAACAGAAATAAGATTTTTAGTAAACAGATAAACACTTACAAAAAGGAATCAAAAATTGATATTCCAAAAAAATATATCGATAAACTAACCGCTTGCACTTTCGACCTCCGCATCAACTTTAGTGCTATTTTCAATTGTTTCACCTTGCAGGCTGAATGAAACCGAAAACAAATATGTTTGTTGTTAGGGTCAAGGCACATACAACTACATATGAAGTAATTTTTTATTTGATATAGTGAAATTCCAGCATTCATTAGATGGTGATTCATTGCTAGATTCGTTTCGTTCTGGTTCTATTCAGAGAAATATCTAGATTTCTCAGCATTTTAACGCATTGAAAGAACTACCAACAGCAATGAAATATTCATTCTTAAACCCGATAAGGAATCTGGTGTAGTTGGCATAAATGTTTTAAACAACAGAGACAATGAGTTCTCGATACTTCATGACAAAATCAAATTCATAGAGAAACGTCCGACAGAAAATATTAAGTAAATAGAAAAAATGTAACTGCTGATATAGTTAAACTGCTTAACATGAATGTTACTAACAAAAATGAACTTAGTTCGTTGAGAACCGAAGGTGTGAACACCAAAATTTACAACCTTTACCCAAGATACACAACAAAAATATTCCATAACTCCAAGCACTACTGATGTATCGCTTCCCAAAGAATGAACCGCCTTAATGACTAGAAAAAAATCGTAAGTGTAATTATTATTATTTGCCTCTGGGTTCCTAATAGGATATAAGACTTCAGTGGAAAAAGCCACTTCACTCTCATTTCCCCAGTCTTTCGAACCTGGCTCCACCACTCCCCATAACCTCTCATTTCTTCCTCACACCATCTCGGATACCCAACTCGTCGTTTCCCATCTGCATCCCACTCAAGGGACTTACAAATTATTGGTCAACGAAATTCACAATCTTTACTACTTTTCATATCATCCGATGTCTTTAAGCAACTCATACAAATGAACTAACTACATGAGTGATATGTCATTCCATTATGATCTAGAAGAAGAAATCTTATTCGAAAACTGGTTCTATCAGTTTGAAGATGTATTTATATGTGATCTGACAAACTTCGACGATCCCACTCCATTCGAACTTCTACTGCGCAAGTTGGAAACCAAAGAAAATGAACGTTATTGTAATTTTATTCTCTAAAAATTTGTCAGATATTTAGTTTTAAATGAAACGCTTATAACCTCAGTAAGTTCACAACTCTCATTCACAAGATGTATAACTGTTTTAAAGTAACTCAAAGCACAAAAATTGTGCTTCTTTTTCTCTCCGGGTTAGCCACAAATGTTAAACTTTCAAGAGTCATTTCAAATACCTAGTACTTGTCTTTGCAGTAAGCCATTCAGCCTACTATGACTAATTCAATCCATTTATAATACCAGACTTCACGAAAACACACCTTAATGTCGGTGATTACTGAACCTTAAGTGGATTTGGAAATATTGGCAAATCAGCAGCCACAACCATCAATTTATCAAGTAGGGTTACAGAAGTATAAACGCCCACAAAACCCCACACACATTTCATCCAGAAATTGAAAAGTACAACAGACAGCTGTGCAACATAAATCCAATTCACAAATCTCATCCTCATGTTGGAACTGTGAAGAACTTTATTTTGCAAAAGCAGCATGTATGTAGAAAATGCTATCAAAAGTCAAAATGTTGGATTCTTCAGAAACTGCAGTCTTTCTGTCCACCGATTTTAAAACCAATTACATTAAATCCAAACATTTATCCAAATTTATGAAAATTAATCGTATATTTGGCAATTTTAATTCGGATTATGCTCAAAATGGATTTTTTAACCTGACTTCTTGTAAAGTTCAATCTAATGCGCTTCCAGATTGACATAGCATCGAATATAACAATTATTTCTAATAAAACATATCATGCTCCTAATTATACCATTATCCAGAGTTCCCTCAATACTGCCCACAGCATGTCTGGTGGAATTACTTGTCTGATCGAACATATTCATTGTACATTACATTTCAGAATCGAAATTCCCGATGGTAGACGCTTTTCGCCTGATACTGCTGTGCTTAATTGGTTAGGAATGGACATGATTAAAGCTCTCGGTATATCTGCTTGGCCATTATACTCCGTTTGTACTTGGCTTTCAGAAACACATCAAGATGACACGTTCTAACTTTTAGAATGTATATGAAGACAAATTAGGATGCTGTTCCAATGCAATGGCTACACTCAGTCTGCATGATAACAATGAATGCGTTTTTTAATCTAAAATTCCTCTTCTAGATCTGGCTATTGCCTCCGTTAACAATCAGGTAGATTGACTTGGGAAACTTGGAGTTACCACAAAGATCGATCATTCTGATTGAGTTGCCCCTATAGTTGTCGTCCGAAAACTCAACAGAGCTACACTATTTTGTACAGATTATTCGATTTGTCCAAACAATGTCTTAAATTTTTATAATTATCCATTACCACTACTTAATGGTCTGCTAGTAAATCTAATGGTGGACTAATACTTGCGGAAATAGATTCTCTGAAGCATACATACACTTGCTCACAACTGGCACATATTGTCAATTATGCTAATTCGAACGACTACCGTTCGGTACCACAGCAAAACCAAGAATATTTAAAAGAATTATGAACACAGTTTGCCAGTCTCCTCATTCTCATTTGCACACCTTGATAACATTATCATCGTCTTCAAATCAATTGATGAGGGCACTTCTAGTTTAAAATAATATAATATATAATATATAAATATAATAACCTCCAGGAAAACAAATAGGGAAGTTGGGTTGACGACAAAATAATGAATACCAACCTGAAATCAACAAAGTCTTCACAGCCTCTAAACTGGAAATATTAACGTCTAACTTACCTCTGTCACATTTTGATCCCAATCTTAACGTCTTAGTTGCAGCTGACACCTCACACCACGAAGTCAACGCAGTCATCTTATATCGGTACCCAGAAACTATTGCTGACGCACCTCTTGGTTTGACATCAGCTGAACGAAACTATGGGCAGATTGAGAAAAAACAACTTGTAATTGTGTTTGCTGCCAAAAGCACCATGGCACATTGCATAGCCCTTATTTCAAGTTCTATACCGACCATAAACCACTACTTACAACCTTTGACGCAGAATCTGATATTCCTTTTTACGCACTGAGTCGCTTACTTTGCTGTGCTATCTTATTGCTTGGATACAGCTTCATCATTGAAAATAATCATACAAATAGATTTGGTCACTGTGACACCTTATCACGACCGGTTCTTAATAAATCATCTAAAGAAGAAACTGTCATCGCAAAAGTCTCAGTCGATGCTGATTTTCATTATATTTTGTGTGAATGTCCATTCACTTCCAGTAATGGTCGAAATGATTCAGGAGTCTACAAAAACTAACTTTCAATATTTGCATCATCTCTATTTCCGTGATGACTTCTTATTTATTGTAGGTGGATGCATAACGATTTCAGACACAGTAGTGATTTTGTTCGAATATATAAAGTGTTATATTACTTTCGCTAAATATGCGTCATCGCGTGATAACGCGCACAAAGCTGCAAGCAAGCAATTTTATACTTTGACCATTATGAACAGAACTATCAAACAATAAAGTGAAATTCTGTGACACTTACACATACACCAGATATGAAGATAAGATCTGAATTATGGCTTTTTCTGTTTCCAAATAGACCATGCTCAAGAATTCATTTTGAATATGCAGCACCGTATAAAAATCATGATATTCTAGGTGTTCCACATCACCAATATCATTATCAACACAATTTTCAATGGAGTTCCTGGTGTAGAAAATAGGGATTCAGTAGCACACAGTCATTTCACTCTCTTCTCTCCAGTCTCTCAAACCTGGCTCCACCACTCCCCACAACCTTTCATTTCTTCCTCACACCATCTCCTCAATCTCACCGTCGCCTCGGATACCCAACTCGTCGTTTCCCATCTGGATCTCACTCAAGGGCCTTACATGGCTTGGCCTAGCCTAACCTGGCCTCGCGCGTCATATCTCCAATCCATCTTCTCAGTGTATCCCCAAGACATCTCCACTTCCTTCTGCATATCTGTTAAGTGATAGGTTCTTGCCTCGTTGGTTCGTTGCAAGCCAGCCAGTTCCTCCTTGTTTATTCTTATTATTCTCGCCATATGATCTCCATCTTCAGTATCGAGTGAGCGTAGTTGGCAGCTGTTGATGAAAGTCTGTAGTTTGTTGGAAGTGATTTTCGTGAAGCACCAAGTCTCTCAACCATCACATATCACACTGACTTGACTGACCTAATGTTGAAAATCTGAATGTTGTTCGTGCTTTATGCTGAGTGCATTGAGTGCAGTGCAGTGCAGTGTAGTAGATCTGCACACTGGTTTCAGATTAATGCAGGAAGGCTTGTCATGCTGCCTTCCCGATTCTGGCTGCTTTGACGTCCTCATCTGTGCCTGTGACGCTATCTGTAGTTGAAACGATGCTGTCTTGCCTAGGTAGGTGGGAAGGCAGGTGGGTACGTGAAATAGACCACTTCCTTTACATTTCTCCCATCCATGGTCACTCGTTCCTCTTCTTCTTCTTGTTGTTGTTGTTGCTGCTGCTGCTGCTGCTTGGGTATCTTCATCACCTCTGTCTCTGTCTTCTCTACGTTCACCTGAAGTCCTGTCTTCGCTACCCCGAACTTGTTGCTTTTTGCCTGTAGATCTTCGAGTTTGTGTGTCAAGACATTAGACACAAATCATCATCGTCGGCGAAATCCAAATCTTCCTCTGTGGTCTTTTCATCGGTCCAGCCAGCGTATGCTCCTCTCCTCACAGCTCCTCACAGTTTCTTACATGACCCACTCCACTCCACTCCACTCCACACCAGTCAAGTCAAGTCAAGTCCAGTCGACCACAATCAGGAAGATCATCGGTGATGATGATAGGCAGCCTTGTCTTACTCCTTCCTGTCTTCACTTCAAAAGCATCACTCAGCTTTCCATTGTGAATCACTCGGCATGTAGCATCTTCATATGGCATATAGCTGCTGTTGAATGAGGTAGATAGAGATTTGTGGCACTAAAAGCATAGTGTTGAAGTAGCATCTGCCAAATTACTTCTCGGTTGACGTCTCGACTGAAGGCCTTTTGAAAATC